ATATATTGTAGTAGTTGGAGCCATAATGGAAATAGAACTCCAGAATGCAGCACAGGACAAAGCAAATATTTACAAATATCTGCAAATATTTACAAATATTGCATAATATGGACCTAAAAGTAGACAGTGGGGAAGAAATAAACATTTTAAATCATTAACATCAGGTGGAGGAACTGAGAAGGAAAACAATCCATAAATCAAAAGAATCACAAAAACAGAACACGTGTGATAAACCGAAGATCAATGGGAAAGAGCGATTAACTATCAATGGCAGGAGGATTGGGAAGGAGGTCAGTGAAGACGCTTTCTACTTCAAAGAGGGATCAGGCCAACTCCGTAGAGCCCAGACATTCATGCAAGACACCTGTCAGCCACTACATGTGAAAACCTGCCACTTCCACTCCCAAAAATTCCTATTTTGAACCTTTACCCCCAGTGAGAAGGCATTTGAGAGGGGGCCTTTGATTAGGTTAGATAAGACTACAAGGGTAGGACCCTCATGAGGAACTAGCACCCTGATAAGATGGGACACCAGAGAAAAATCCGTCTCTCACTGTATGTGAAGACAAAGCAAGACAGGAAGAGTTCACACAGAGCCCCACTCTGCTGGCACCCCAATCTCAGCTTCACACCCCAGAACTGGGAGAAATAAGAACTGAGAAGTAAATACTTAAGCCACCCAGTTTTTGGTATCTTGTTATGGCAGCCACAGGGAAGATTAATGCAGCCATCTACAGTGTTTCGTCCCCTTGGCAAAGAGGTCATATTCCAAGGATCATGTGACTCCATAAACTGGTCGCTTTAGCCAGTTTGTGTCTCAGTCCGCTTTCTATTGCTATAATGAAAATCCCTGAGGCTGGGTACTTTACAAAGAAAAGAAGTTTATTCAATTCTGAGTCTGGAGGTTCAAGAACATGATGCCATCTCCTGCTTAGCTCTGGTGGGGACCTCCTGGAAGACGTCATCACAATGATGGAGTAGACATGCAGAAGAGGTCGCATAGCCAGACAGGAAGCAGTCAATTAATACCCAAAAGCCAAACTCCTCTAGTAAAGACCCTTTCTCACAGGAATGAATCCAAACCCCAAGACCTGCATCGCTGCCTTCATGAGAGCTGTGCCCTGCCTACCTCTTAAAGATCCACTGCTTCTCTGGGGCTGGGGTTGTGGCTCAGTGGTAGAGCACTCTCCCGACTCATGCAAGGCGCTGGGTTCGAGCCTCAGCAACACATAAAAATAAGCAAAATAAAGGTTTAAAAAAAAGAATAAGCAAAATAAAGGTTTAAAAAAAAGAACTACCACTTCTCATTACTGCCACAATGGGGACCAAGCATGGTAGGGACCACGTTGCCAATTTGTGAACCCCTGGGAGACAAACCACATTCAAATCATAGCACTAAACTTTTGCTGGTTTGGAATGACAAGAACGACCTTCCATTGCCTACATAGAGGAAAATAGCCAAACGGGACAGCGGCAGCCACATAAAAACATCTCGGGCAAACACAGACATCCTTTATAACAAAACGCATGCTGGCATCAAAATCTGTCTACCATAAAGTAGCCCATAAATTCAAAAATAAAGTTATTGCTTCATATATCATTTAAACATTTTATCACTCATCTCATTTAAACATTTTCTCTTTACCAAAATATTCGTAGCCAAAAACCTACTTACCTTCACTACTACTCCTGGAAATAATCTGGAAAAAAAAAAAGAAAAGGTACAACTCATATTCTAAAATGGCATTACACACTGTAACATTAATAGGTGCTAATATTTCCTAATAGGCAAGAGTCAGCTTTAAACCCAAAAGAAAATTCTCCAAGAAAATCTACTGGAGCTTCACTTTATTACAAGGAGCATATCATCTTTCATCTGGTGGATAATATAGTTATATGTGTAAAAATAAATCAGTGTTCTATACTATTGGTCGCATATTAATGTTTGTTACTATTTCACATAATGCTCTAAAACATGGGAGTCTTTTCATTAAAGACATATCTTATAAAAAGCCAAGAGTCATCATCAGTTTCCTGCCCAGTACCCGTGGCATCTGCTCCATGAAGCATCTGTCCACTCTTACCAGCACAGTGTCAAAGAAGTCCTCTAAGACGTCAGTGAGTGAAACATCTGAGGCTATATCTTCTATGGTCAGAAATCCCACTGTTCTCTCAAACCAGGAAACCAGGTACATGGGAAGAAACACAGATGGAACCCGGTGAGACTGAATACCTACTGCCTGTGCCATAAAACTTCACAATCTCTCACTTGAGCAAAATCATCCTAAAGACCTTTGCTCATACCTAGTAACTCAGGCCTGGCTCCAAGGCTCCCCACGTAGAACATCAGAATGGTGTCCAACGCCTACATGACTACTATCAGTTATCTGAGCTCAGCAGGACAGACTTGGCCAGGATCCAGGCCAGAAATTCACATAAAGGGGTTTGTGAGGAAAGTTTAAGAGATGAATGAACCTCCCCCACCCAGAGGAACATCTTGTGGATCTGAGAAACTGTAGAAAACTATCAAAGAAAATGTGCAGGGCTGGGGGCTTGGCTCAGTGGTAGAGCGCTTGCCTAGCGTGAAAGAGACCCCGAGTTCAATCCCCAGCATGGTAGTTAAAAAAAGAGAAGATGTACAATTTAGGAAGTGCCCCTGCAGTACTCAAGGTTATAGTAACTGTGCCTCAGGCCTCGATAGCTAAAAGCTTTTGACAAAAGAAAGGTAACTGAAGGTTTTTTTTTTTTTCCCCTATAGGACTATATATCCACTTTTACATTGAGTTGCTAACATTAGTCTGATTTAAAATAAACTTCCTGTAAGATGCATTTGCTTTATCAAGCAAAGGATACCTCTGGACCATTTTTTGCTAAGACTGATCACTCATGGGGGAAAAACATGCATACCTAGAAATCATTAGATGAATATAAAGTTAGCAACATGAGCTTTTGATGAACAACCACCTTTGGCACAGGGCCTTTGAAGTTTTATGCACATTAGACAAGAATCCAAGGCATCCTTCCTTTACTGCTTTATAAGTCAATCAGTTCTCAACTCTGGCTACACATCAGAAAAACAGTATGAAAATCCCAATGCCTAGAACCTATCTCAGACCCTAGAAATCAGAATCCTTGGTGACAGGGCCTCTAGGGAGTATCTGTAAAAACTTTCTGAGTGATTGTGACATACAGCCAGGTCTGAGAGTCAGCCCTGTTTCAAGTTTCTTTTATCTCACAGTAGACAAATATGTACATTAAATCATTCCCCTTCTGAAGCAAATTGCTCTCCGACAGCCCGTGGGAAAAAATGTCCCCCTCTCCAGCAGGACTCAAGGTTAAAGCTATACTTTCCTTCTCCTTATGTTCAAAATTCTGTGGTTTTAAATATACTTTTCTTATCATTCCATCTCTCTCTCCAAGCATACCTCCTTTCCAGCCTTCCCCCAATTGTTAGATATACATATACTAATGGGAAATACATTAGTTTATCAATACCTGGGAATAGAAGTACTTGCTAACCCCTTTTTATGTGCCATGATCATACATTGTCTAGCAGGTACTCTGGCTGTCCCCACAGCTGTGTCATTACCAGAAGCTAGACACAAGAGCAATGACTTAGGAACATGGGGTAAGACAAATTGCTTAACCCTTCTGGACTCAGGGTACAAGACAAAATTCATTCCTCTCTACAGGAAATCCTGTAATTCAATGGAGTAGAATAATTTCCAAGCACACAGTGTTGACCCCGCAAACAATTGGCTTTGAAGTACAGACTCTAATATCCCAGTCTTTTTGATAATATCAATCTGTTCTCTTTGGCAAAAAACAACCTACATAAAATAAAGATGTTTTAGGAGGTGCCTAATCATTAAATTACCATCACCAACTAGAACTTGAATGTAATGTGGAAATTCCTATTTGATTTTAAAATCCAATGAGGATTTTGATATAGCATGTTTTTAATCTCTGGAAAGGCAATCTATATAGGAAAATCCAGCAGATACATAGACTCAACTCCCAC